CTCGAGGACACATTCGCGGCGGATCTTCATTCAATAGCTTCTTTCTACAATTTGAGTCAAGCGTACAGAAATCTGGTACAAAAGAACGGTCCACTGTCACCTAGTCGCATGATCAGACCAACTCTTTTGGTGTACTGGAACACCTGAAAAGGTGGAGTTGACGAATTCAGTAGAGCATTGAAGACTCTTGCCTATACAAGTACGAGCGAGAACCCTATAGTGAGCATTATTGGTCGCCTCATCAGTTCACAGGTGGGCAATTCAGCAATCACTCATAGATTATCCATTGCTCAGCAACGAGAAGTGCTCCCCGGTATGAGTCGAGAGCGTTGCACTCTCTAAACGTACAAAAACTTACGGCATCAAGTGACGAGTTGCGAAAGTTTTGGTGCTTTGGCAAGGGAGTTGGTTCGGGAGTATGTACAAATCACACAGAAATCGTCTGTCTCGGACCACATGCATAGCTTCCAAACAAGTAACGTATCCCAGAACTTGCCATCTGAGTCCACTAACCAACGCAAAGTAACTCCGATGTATTACACAAACGTGGTAGAGAAATATTATCACGCTGAAGACGCCGCCAGACGGCTGAACAATCCTGAATCGCATGGGAGAGTGAAAGCAAAGGCTACATATTGTAGCCTTTGCTCTTATAATCATTTGGTTACCTACAGAGGGAGAAATTTTGAAAATAAGGGCGGTGCAAAAGAGGTACAATGGTGTGGCACTTGCAAACAACCTATATGTAAGAACTGTTGGGGTGCGTGGCATTCGAAGAGAAATCTGCAAAAATCTGTCATTCCTGTGGTAGAAATATGTAGGTTCAATAACAAAGCTAGGAAGTCGATGCGATAAATCAGACATGTTGGTCAACTAAAATGCCTTCTTGACGCCCTTTCAAAATTGGCCACTCGGAATGGGGAGTTGCAAATCGACATGGAGACGTTCTATTTCGAATCAGGAGCAACGTTCAATTTTACTACGATTGTTCACTTCACGGGAGAGAAGTTCTACTCGCAAAGAGATGTTCTCCCAGGAGGAGAACAAATTAACCATGAGGAGAACAATAAGGAGACGTTCTCCACAATGTTCTCCCTTTTTTTGACTGCAGTAGAGATAAAACGAGAACTAGACGTCCTATGACTTTGACAATGGTATCAAAAGAATCGGCGAGATCAGACGGTTCTATCAGTGGTCGTCAGTTGCACAAGTGAGGGCCATTCCATTCATCGTGATTGGCAATCACGCAATCACGCAATCACGTCAATAAATGGTGCCTGCTCCCTTGTGGTTGGTTGTTTATATTACGTTTCCTAAAAAATGGTCATGCTCATTAAAGAAATAAACAATCGACTTAAATTAATCTTGTGCTCTAACTTGCAGAACGACGTTAAATTAATGTCGTGATCGCGTGATTGCGTGATTGCATGATTGCCAATCACGATGAAGGGAATGGCCCTGAGTTACTCTGGCGGGACGCGGGTCAAATTTTGATAATCTCAAAATCTGAAGTTCTCCCTATTTGGCGCACAGGGTTACAGTAGTCTCCCTTTATTTGCAACCGCCTGGTGGACAGGTCTGGTTGCAACAAAAGGGGGGTTGCAGACAAAGAAATGTATCATACCATGCGTTCCTGACCAATCGTTTGGAATGTCTCATATGTATTTCAAATACTCATGAAAGGTGCTCTGCTGTAGAGCTTCGGATTACAGCAGTCTTACTGTTCTCGGCGCAATGCGCAGTGCACGCAAAATCGCAGCATTATCATCACAAGTGGACTCGACGATGCGCTTCGCAATTGGAAGCACTCTAAGTTGCTTCTTCGTGCCGGAAAGAGGCACCATTTCGTTTGGTAAGAAGGCAGTTTTTGTTTTCTTTCAAAATCTGCAACGGAACCGTTGAACAGTTGAAAGCAGGGTTTGCAGCATTTCTACTGTTCAACGGTTCACTACCAGAGTTTTCTGACGGTTTATTGCTCTCAGTGCAGGCAAAATATATTTAAGAAGCCATTAAACCGGTTACATTAATAGAAAATGGAACAGCATGGGTTTTTGATTAAAATTTGGCTTCTCCCAACTTGGTGGACCGCTTTTGGTTGCAAAAAAGAGGTGTTTGCAAATACTGGCTGTTACAAATAAGGAGAGACTACTGTAATGCTGTAGGGGTAAGGTTCAGGTTGAGATTGCACGCCTGGCTTTGGAGGTTTCTCTTTTACGGTGCTGCGGCCAACCAACCATTCACCATTTGTAGATTTCGCATTAGGCTAACTGAACAGTATGTCGCCGGCACATGAACAACCGCCCAAAACTTGTCTCCAACATAACTCTCCTCTCACAAACTTATCCAGCATCACGAAAAAGTCGCTCACTGTTGTGCTCTACTTCTAACAGAAAAAATTGCTCGCATCAGCATAGTCCTCGCAAGATTACCTTATGTGTTCTATCGCATAGTATAAACTTCACGGCATTCGGCCGCTAAAGAAATGTTCAGTACCGCCTCCTGTCAGGAATGATGAAAAACGCAGGGTTGCTATGAACTGGTCTTGCCCTCTCGTGAATACTGAACCTATTTTAAAATGTCCATTAGAGAGAAGGTAAACTTCGTTCAACCATCCCTCTGTTTCAGCGGTGCGCGTATTTTGCTCACCCCGCCACCTTTGAAAACCACAGGTAGAACTAACTATATGGTAGCTTCTTTGAAGGGATATCATGATTTATTCTACCAAATCCATCATATTGCTTATTGAAAAATAGTACGCTGATACAGGACAAGTTCACCACATCCAGAACACCCATGGCGGTGGTGGAGTGAATCACATGGAGAGGCTATTTCCCTCACCGCTGGCACGAATATGGATACTAGATCTGGTTGGCTGTTTCATTTATTGCATTGAATTCTATGCGCACTCATCTGTCCAGTTCTGGCGACACGTTCGTTTATTTATATGCGGCGCAACTGTTGTTTGGAACATGTAAATAAACATACTCCTATAATCATCCTGTACGGCGATCGGGGAGATCGGGGCCATGTAACATTTACAGTTCACAGTACGATACTGCACGTCTTTTACATCACGATATCTACAGAAATAACAGTATGGTGGTGTCTTGAGGTCTAGTTATGGAAGCCATATACAGTAGGTACCCCTCAATAGTGCATCCTTGTGCCATAAGCTATAGATACGCACTACTGACAGCACGAACTAATGAAGGTATATCCACAGGTCACGGCCCACCGGCCACAAAATGCTCTGATATGAGCGTTTGACGTCGCTCCTTGCGCGCTTGTTGGTGATAGGCTTCAAACAGGGCTCGTTTGGTTCGTCGCAGTGCCTCTGAAGCATGCGGTCGTGGTCGTCATCGGCAACGCAGCGGTGTGCATCTACATCGGAATCGCCCACGTGCACAGGTGTACACGTGGTATGAATGGTGACATCGCTGAAAGGGATGCACTTTTGGCCATGTGCACTATTGTAAGCGAACTATTGAGGGGACCCCCTGTATACTGAATGTTGAGTTGACCGATTTCACTCATGGTTACAGAGCATTCAAGGTCCATTTGTTCATGGAAATGGCGGATATTCTGTCCAGTGGTTTTCAGCATAAAAACATTGATGCATGTGTGCACGTGCCATAACAGCAGCATCGAAAACAATTTGACATGCTACTGTATCAGAGCCATGGGGAAAAAACGGACCTGTTGATAACATACATAGAGCACGAGCAAATTATGTCCAGACCATAGCAGCCAGCCATCAGGAAAACCTGACGGTACATTTTTTTTTTTTTTTTCTGTCCGTCATCCCCATGCTCTCGTTACCGATGGAGTTTTCTTGTCTTACAATATGGAAGGCGCACAAGCTCGACAAGAAATCGAGCGCATATTTTTAATTACAAATTTTTTTCTCCCTCTCCACTGAATAATGAACGAGGCCATACCAGAATGCGTTGCTTATGGAGCGAAGCAAAGCCTATTTCAAAGGGGGTCGGAGATTGCTACCAAATGATATCTGCTTTTTTTGAAACGAAATAGTATGAACTTTTCGGCGCATATCTCCACATGGTCCGTTGTGAAATTACTCATGCATGAAGACTTGACAATCTAGCAAAGGTTTTTGAATGCGTTTTCCACGTGCAGTAAGAAGGAGGATGCTGTCAATCCAAGAGTATTCGCGTGGTTGTCCTCGAAAGAGCTCATTTTCTCCGTACTATCTGTAAACCGGACTTGCAAGGATCATAGATACAGCAGGAAAAGCAGGCGTGGCATACGCGCAGTGCTCATCGTTTTGCACAATGGCATACTGTAGGCTACAGTATGCCATTGTGCAAAACGATACAGTCTGTAGCTGCGGCCTTCATTGCTGTTGGTATGGACACGTGTATGCAGAGGAGGGTCATACGATCGAATTGATGATCATGCCTTGCCGCTATCTCTCAATGGCAGATATCTAAACCAATCAGCTGGTGATGCTTTCTTTCTTTGACATAACGATCACTTCACGGATCGTCGCCCTCATCAACTCGATTCCGAGGACGGCCTCGAGTTTCAACATGTAACCACTTTACAATTCCACTACTGTACTTTTAGACAATGGCGGCACCAGCAATGTACACGACATTAAGCACCCACAGCCATGTGAAACTCTCGCTCACAGTCCTATTTATGTATTCTGCAAGTACTACACATGTTTGGCTGGCCTCTGTCATAACGAGTAGACATATACATATCATACGGTATCAGTTGAAGGGATCTCCTTTTAGCCGAGCCAAAGCCCAATATGGCAAATCATCCATCCCTCTGTCAACGAGAGCACTTACATATAAAAGCACAGAAAGTTTTGCACATCTCATCGGGAGACCTGCAAAGTCGAGAACACAAGTCGGAAAGGGATAACATCATCATTTCCCAACCTTAATATCTTTGGACCAGAAAAGAACTTCAGCAAAAATATCCCAGCTCACACTCTGCCAGTTTCTGGGCAAACAAAAGACGCGCATAACATGGTCTCAGCCTTGATTATCGCACTCGGTTCCCGCGGAGACACTGAACCATGTTTTGCTTTGGCGAAATCATTGATTCATTCCGGTAATTTCCACCGTCTCGACATATGCATTCAAGCAGAATACATGCATTTAGTGCCTTCAGATAACCGCATTCACATCCACCAGTTTTCGTTCAGTACGAAGAACTTCGCAAAGACGTACTACTACGAGTACTTCAAGGATTCATTCCTCAGCTTCTTTACCCGCAATTTCGATGCTTCTCGCCCAAGTCGTCGCTGCCTCGCTTCCATCATAAAGCAATTCTTTGTACCAGAACTCCCTTTTTTGAATGAAATTGCCACCAAAGAAAACCCATCATTATTAATCGCCACAACCCTTGGTGGTCTCATTGCTACTACCCTAGCCCAACAACTCAATATTCCTATGTGGCTGATTAACTTTCAGCCAACTACCCCGACCGCGGCGTACCCGTACTACATGTCTGGCAATAAAACGGCAGCTGTGGCAGGAAAGAATGTTGTTCAAATGTTTTCACACTTTGATGAAACACCAGAGAACAGGCAGAACATTGCAAGTTACGAAATTCAACAAGAAGCACACAAGAACTCTCTTTCCTACATCAACACATATCGCTCGACGTGTTGTCTGCCTTCTATGGATATGTCTGATGTGGATGCTCTATTTAGTGGTCGGCTTGAAAATGTCTACGTCCTCAATGCGTTCAGTCCTCAATTGATCCCAAGAAGCATGGATTGGACAGAACATGTTCATCAAGTTTCCGCCCTTGCAGCTGACTACATTCCCTCAGGATGGTCACCAGAGAAAAAGTGTCCAAAACTGAAAGAGTACCTCTCGACAGCAAAGCGGCCCATCTGCGTTAGCTTCGGGTCTATGAATGTGGCTGAAAAGAAGACAATCGTTACACGGGAACTTTTCAAGGCGCTTCGAGCTACCGGGATTAATCAAGTTGTCCTACTGAAGGGCAGCTGTGATCTTGGGGCGCACAACCTGACAGCAAGCGACTCCGAGCTCAAGCGGTGGGCAGATGATCATGTGTTTTTCTCAGAGGAACCGTCTCAACTAGCGTGGTTGTTGCCGCAGTGCTCTGGTCTAATATGCCATGGGGGGGCCGGTACAACATTTGCTGGATTGCGAGCAGGGATTCCGGTAATTATTGCCCCGCTTTTCTGCGATCAGTTCTTTTGGGGTCACGTTGTTCAGGGCCGACAACTGGGAAGTGTTGCTGAACCAAATTTGAGAGACGCTACAGCCGACGCATACAAAACTGCTTTGAAGAAGGCTCTAAGTGAACAGACAATTCACAGAGTAGAAAAGTATTCGCAAAAGGAGAAAAATGCTTGTGGAAGCGTGGCTGCGGCGGAACTAATTGTTTCTTCCATTCCAAGTACGTCGTAGTATTCAAACATCTATACGACAGTATTGTACAGCGCATATAAAGTAAAACTGAAATCTTGAAAATGCACAACTTTCCGCATATGGACGATTGAACCGCAATCAGTAGTTGTTCCCGCAATCCGTTCATGTCCATTTTAGTTGTCATCGTTATGGCGCCGGAACGACGAGGAAAGAGATGCAAAATCATTTGTAAGGGTTTTAGTCGCTATAACCGCGGAGCGGAGTTCCACTCTTCGACGGATAGGAAGAAAAAGTCTCGAAATCCCCACAAGTGATGACGTGAAAAAATGTGTGGAAGAATCGGTGCAAAACTTGGAAAGAAGAGAGCGGAAGGCAGGAGTCTTGCCGCACCACTGGGGTGTATAGATGTACAGATGCAGGGCAGTCGCAGATCTCTTACTTTCCCGAATGGAATGGAACGATGTTCAGACAAGAGATGAAAAGAGGTTTCCCAAAACTCTTACTCTACTGCGTTTTTCGTCAATGCTTGCGAGAAGGTGGAATAGATCTTGAATAAGTATCGATCCTTTTCGAACTGCCAGCTAAAACCTTCGCATTTTTATCGTATGTCTATGTTCTCCTGTGTGGCAGGGACGATTTAAAGAAATGGTTCTTTTTCACGAGAGAAAGCATATACTGCTTTCATATGCATGCTAAGAGTAAACAGAGTCGAACCCCTCTACATTACTTTTATTAAGCTTTTGACAAAAAATCCAGATGTGAAGCAGTAGCTATATTTAATGGAACATTATTCAATTCAATACGCATTATCTATGCGCAAAGGGAATTGCTTGCACTACAGTACAGGGCAGCGCAAGAAGGGATTTTGGAAATTGAAACAACTCATTTTCTTCAATGTGATGGGGGGTAGCGTCAACAAGAGCTGTGACAGGAAGGTTGGGGCAGATGTAGCACAAGAAGGGATAACTTGTGCAGTAGGTCCATCCAGAAATTGCCAGATTACCACTGTACCACTTTTTTGGCCAATCGTCGCTCAGAAAATCTGGCGGACAGCCGCCACTTCTGACGAAGTGGTGCCTCTCTCGTGGGGGGGATCACTTCGCCAAATCCCCTGAACAAATGTTTTCGCGCGAATATATGTCTACATCCTCGTCCTGGAACTGCAAATTCCCTTACACTTCCTTTCGTCATCGTTCCCTGTCCTACTCTCCTCCAACTCAACCTTGCTCACAACTTCCCGCCCCTCTTCCCCTCTTCAATGCTTACAGCCGATCCGATGAGAAGCCCTGTGTAGAAAAATGACGGTCTGCGTGATCCGACTACTGTAGCTTGAGCTCGATAGATTGATTTTGGGGAGACGGGCAGTGTCGAAGGGAGACGGAGTCTGAGCAAAAGTCGGAGGGCACTGTCACCAAGCGGGGGATTCTTCAAGTTCTCTCTCTCTTCCCCCGATGGTGCTGCCTTTATCAAATGCGGGCTTAAATACATATCTCAAGGCTATGCGTCTTTCGCTTCGACTTGTGCATTTCTCACCAACTTCCGCTTTTTGCAGACTGGCTTCGTAAAAGCCCAGAAGCCACGACGAGCAAAACTACGCCTTGCCCGGCTCCTCGTTGGGCCCTCGAACCACAACCTTACCGTCGCGGTTCGCTCCGCGCTTTTTCCCGCACCACAGTTGCGGATCGTGGACTACACTTGATATACTGTGCGCGAAAACGCTATACGCGCCGTTGACACTGTCTTGCATGATTATCGCCTAAGTTTCGCTTCGGCGAGCGTCGGAGCAATATACTGCGTGTCGCGCCGGCACTGTCGCACTGTGCTGATATCGCAGGTTGTCCCCTGGTTGATATTGTGCCATAATTTTGTCAGCCGTGAGACAACGCTAAATGTCACACCCTGCTCTCAAGAAGGCATCTTTGTGCGGGACAATAGCTGCGTACACGACCTCACTCGCTTTTTATCTCGTCCAGAAAATGCCGCCTGCTCATAATCGTTCCCGCACAAATCGTTAGTATCTGCGGGGTGCCCTACTAAGACCCGTCAACACACGAATGACGACACCGTGGAATCAAATGTTGTCATGCGGCAAAGGCGACGATTTCCAGCCGTCAAAAAACATGGAAACCAGTACCCTTCAATGTACAGTTAACATTTGTGCCGACATGGTGCTGGTGGCCAACAATGATAGGAACCGGGGAGGATGGTGCACAAGTCGATCAGCATTAAGGCGGGCATCTGCTTTCTATCTTTACTTTGCTTCTACTCGCTCGCTTGAAGTACCCGTTTTCGGTCGCCCAACCAGCCTCCCTCATGCCTGAAGGTGGCCGGTTTCTTCCTTCGCTCACGCGCCTTTTCGCTTCTCGCTGATGTCGCGTTTGCTGTAGTCTGACTGCCATTGTCAGCTCATCGACTCCCCCTTCTCGCCCCTTCGCGTTTCCACATCGCCGTGCCTACGTTCGCCCTTGCAAGGGCTCCGGTAGGCCCTATTGCATTGCTTCCGCTGCGTCCTTCCCGTATGCTGTGGTGCTTGCTTTGCTGATGGTCGGCAACTGCCGTCACCTACCATGCTCGAATTCGTCCGATTGTCCCGGATGCCATCGTGCTCATCCGCCGATGAGCACGGTTATGCGTGCGTCCCTCTGCATGTCTGCGGACGTTGAGTTGACCTACGAACGGTCGCAGGGAAGGTTGTAATGAGTCGTGAGATTGAAGATGCAGAGAATGTTGACCTACATGTAATAACAGAAATGCTTGATTAGACTTGAGTCTGTAGTGAAGATACAAAGCATGAGTGATGGCGTCCTGCGAGTGGTCTTTCTGAGCAGTGATGCAAGGAAGTGGCTGCAAAAAAGCCGTAAATCTCATTATCTAACAGTGCCTGGTTCGATATAGTGCTGTTTTCGGCCCACTGACACAGGGTAGCACTATATCGCGACCCCCCCCTGTACTGCACACCGGTGATAAAGTAGTATCACACCCTCGCATGCTTTGGCACTACCCTGCCACGTGGCAGCGTATGCAGCACTGCTGTGAAGAGTGGCACCAGAAAAGCTCGCCGAACAAGAGCGATGGCCAGAGAAACCTCCACTTTTTTGTCCATCGATTTAGAAGCAAAGCAAGAAGCGAAAGACCCAGACACCTTCGTATCGTAGAATGCTTAAAGACTGAACAGGGACTCGTCGTCTTAAGGCTTATCATTAGCGCACTTTGCTAGTGTCGCACTTTTTCGACGTATAGCACGGGGTGCGGTATTTAGAGGGGGGTGCGGTATCTAGAGGGGTGTACTGTAAAAGGAATCCGCGTGTTCTATCTGAGAACTTAGTTTAAGGAGAGTTACTTATCTCCTCCGGCGTTCGGCTAAAGGGAAAGCCTGACAATGGACGAGAATATTGATGTCAAAGACTGCATCATTTGCCTTCCCAAGGTCAGAAAGGAAACCGAAATCTTCTCGATGGCCTCCGCCCTGACCATTTGCAGACATGGAGAATGTGTCGATGTGAAACTTGTAGGAATCTCTTAATCCTCTCGCGCGAAATTATGAATATATGTGTACAGGATACCCTTCACACAGTTTCTACAAAATGCAATGCATGTTATTTACGCAGGATATAATAGTACGCTTCGGTCCGAAAAACCGCGATCTGAAACATTAGAAAACAGGCGGTCAATATCAGATCATTACTTTGACATCCCTCTAGAGCAGACGTGATGTAAGGTCGGAGAAACTGTACGCTGGCGAGCGGGATGATAGGTTGCAGTCATGAACGGCGTAGCTTGTTCTCAACAAGGAGAGAACAATGGACGAGAGAAGACTGAGACCGAAAACATATTAAAACAGTGGGGCCAATGAGGACCATAACAACAAGGATAACCACTTAAATCTCGATAGGCAACGACAAACACAGCGCTACTCTTCCTTTTCCTCGAATTATTCTTCTTCGACGACACGGTGTTCTTAGAGCTTCTTCACCTTGACCTTGATTTTAATGGCTTCGCATTTCTTGGAGCAGCAGCAACAAGAGCCTGAGGTTGCCAGCTCCTTGGCGAGCGCTTTCGCGAGGGCCTTGGAGATGGTACGGGACTTGCAATGAGAAGAGGTCCAATGATTGCATGATGCGCCTTGCACAGCACTCGGATTTGAAGTCATTTCGTCGCGCAGTTGATGAGGGGAGAGGTGGAAGCAAAAGCCTTCGGAAGGATGATGCTAAATCTGCTTGATGCTTGTACAAGCAGTACCAAGGGTTCCGTACATCACCCTTGGATACCATACCTTTACAGTATAAGAACGAGCAGAACAGATGAATAAGGATGCAGGTGACCGCAGCGAGATCCGCTCGCTGGTCTTGGAAAGCGATATAACACGTGTTCGATGTGTACTTTCGCACTTCGGTCGATACATTGAACAGCAATGCACCATGCATGGATTGTTTTTTTTAATTTTCGTCTTTTCCTACCAATCAATCCGCGACTAGTTGTCCACTCAATTCGCCGTAAAAAAAAAACTTTTAAAAACGAATTCCCGATCCAGCCAATCATCCTCATACCTATGTCATCGCTGTTTCATCCCGCCCATATTTCTTCAATATTTCTACAATTTCCTTCCCAAACCCCTCCCACATCAAGTCCACAACGGCGCCCCCCTCTTGTCTCTCATCGCTGGCACCTACGCGTGTACCCCTGCCCCATTCTTTTTTACTTAACGGCCTCATCCCTCTCAACCCGCGCCACAGGCCTTTCACCCCCCCTCCCCAGCGCTCCACCCCCTAAACGAAACCATGGGTAAAGGCGCCGAACGATCCACCCCGGAAGCTTCCGCTCGCAGCAACCTCCTCTCCACCGAAGCCGCCGAAGCCGTCGTGGCCCGTGCAAAGAACCGCAAGCACCCGCACGGGCAGCGCCGCGCAGAGATCCTCGCAGCTCATCCCGATGTCTCATCCCTCTTCGGCATCCATCCGCCCACAGCGCTTTGGTCCCTTGCCCTCGTCTTCTTCCAGGTAACCCTCGCTGTGGCAGCTACTTCTTTTCTCCCTACGTGGGCCGCTTTGGTAGTCAGCTACACAGTGGGCGCCATAGTCGACCATGCTCTATGGGTCCTCATTCATGATGCTACCCACAACCTCGTCTTCCGCAATGTCTGGTCCAACCGTGTTGTCCTTCTCTTGTGCAATATCCCCCATGTTTTCCCCTCGGCCATGATGTTCCGCTACTATCACATCCTGCATCATATCGAACTCAACCGAGCGTACAAAGACCCAGATGTTCCCTTTGAGTGGGAGGCCCGTCTAATCGGAAATTCCCCTTTCCGTAAGTCTATCTGGCTGGCGTTTTTCTTCATTGTTCAAGCTCTCCGCACCATCTTCTACACATACCGAATTCCTAAGGGCATCGAAGTCATGTGGATGGCGCTCAATTGGGCCACAAACATTGCTTCCCTCGCCCCTATTGTCCTGTACTTCGGATGGAAGCCTATCTTCTTTCTAGCATTTGCTAGCATCTCCTCCATCGGACTTCACCCACTCGGAGCGCGTTGGATCCAGGAGCATTATCCGACTCAGCCCTTCCAAGCCACCTACTCGTATTATGGTATTGCAAACCGCTTCGCATTTGCCATTGGCTATCATGTCGAGCACCACGATTTTCCATCCGTCCCATGGAATAAATTGCCCGCTCTCAAGGCCATGGCGCCGGAGTACTATGATACCCTATTCGCTTATACGAGCTACTCCGAGCTCTTGAAAGATTTCATCTTCGAGCGCAAGTGGAGTTTGTCAAATCGCTTTGAAGTGGAGCGCGAAATGAATGAGAAGGCATCACCAGGTGCTGACGCTTTTACAAAGAAGGAGCGGTAGGCTGCGCTCTTTGACTCTGTCAACTTATTCGTTTGCGCTCTCTCGGCCCTGACTACCGTCAATGGTATTTATACCACGCGACTTGAAAGATGTATTTTTTCGAATCTCGCCAGGGCATTGTACTCACAAACGGATCAACTACAACGCTTTGTAGCACCTCTCAAACGACTGCGACACAAACACCTTGTTCGTTGTTGTCAGGTATATTCTTGGTTGTTTCGAAATTGACCACCGATTGTGTGCCCATTCTATTCTGTACTCTACGTTGAACGATAAACTAATATACAACCGAACTCCTATTCTGAACCAGAAGTGTCTTGCCGGCTCTCACCCAGGTGGATTGTGGCCGGCCGTGGCGCGATTTTCTCACAGGTACGATCGTACGTAGCCTTCGGCCTCGAGGCAGGGGTTGGAGATGACGAAGGAATGGCTTGGCTTTATCTGTCCTTCAGAATAGACCGCTTACATGTTTGTAAGTCTTCACTGAGTCTCGCTCGCATATTAGCTGGAGCACGTAATTTGCATCCTGGGCTCCTCTGCATCCACGAAGTCTCACGTCTCACCCAAGATATACTCATGAGTCCCAAAAACCTATCTCTATTGAATCATCGTGTTCCACAGCATCCTTTTTCAAGACGACAACATTGCACTATATTTAGAAAGCCGGGGCTGAGCTGGAGATATTAGTAGCACGTGCGCAAACGTATATGGTCACCGAATCCGGATGAAGGCAAAAGTGTTGACATAATGTTCATGCAAATGCCGGCCATCATGGTAACGAGATGTCCGCCTGCGCTTGACCTGGAAAGAACGGAGCTGGACACGATCCCTTCTGTACAATATGGCTCATCGGTTCTTGATGCGTGGTGGGCGAAGCGGCATCTCGCCATGTCCTGGCAGGACAAGAAAGAAATTCTTGAGGAGCTCCTGTCGACAAATTAATGTGCATCTGCTTTGTAAGTCATGCAGATGACAGAGAGGGCGTTTGATGAGACTGGCATTGATTAAATAGGGGCTATGTTGTTTTTCCTGTTGAATTTCGTCGCCATCCTAAGAGGGAAACAGCATGATGGGTTTCCCGCTTGCCATGTGCAGAGCCTATTCTGCGTTGATTTCGGCTGTAAGATCCAATGTTTGCATGTTTCCTCAAAACCGGTACACGTGTAGGTGCTTGCTGTAGACTTGTCATTTATGACGGGTCTGTTTACCTCTACGCCGTAGAGGTAAGCAGACCCGTCATAAATGCCGTAGAGTCTACGGCACAAAGTCTGTAAACTTTACATAAGAACTCACTCCACAGAGCAGACAACTGCCCTGCTTGCCACTGCTTGCAATTCTGTAGGACCAAATGTGGACAGGTATTATTGGGAGCGTGTCGCCAATCCATTATCGCGCTGCTAAGCTAAGCGGCTGTAGATCAGAACCCTGCGACAATGCGTAGTACTGTACAGTGTGTACTGCACGTTGGTTTGGCGCTCTTTGAACTGCAGGAAAACTTTCCGAAGCGCATACTGGTACTGCGATCAACCAGGATACCGCGAAACGGGGAAAGGCAACACTTTGTTTGGATCTTCTGTGTCTATCGGACCGTTAGTCGTCACATGAGGAAAAAATTTATTTTATTTTTTCTAGACAACCCAACGCACGATTTCACCTCGTTTTTTTAAAAAAACCAGAAGGCCATCACCGCAGGTAAAGCATTTGCTTGTCAATTCTAGCGAAACCCAACTTGTGGATGCATATAAAGGTGTTCAAAAGGAAAAGCCGGCTTACAGAAAGTATTTTTCTTTAAGCTAACTTTATACTAGTAGCATCGAAACATTGCGTTGAGGGCTCTATCCCCGTGCCACCTGCGTGCAAGAATTCCGTCACGCTGGAATTTCGGTGAAAATTAAGTGAATTCGGTGAATCACCGTCTGTGCGTGAAACTCACCGGCCACCTCACCGGCCTCACTCAAATCTTCACCAACTTCACCCAAACAGTCCGTCCGCTTTGAAAAATTCGGAATTTGTAGTTTTCAGAGTGGGTATGATCCCACATATCACAAAATTTACGCAACAAAAACCCCCGTCGCCCTCTAAATATCCATCTTTTTCAGTCCCATGTACCGCTCTAACTTTGTCAGACTCTCTCTCTCATCCTCAGTCTGCGTCTACCCGCCCACATTCGTCTCTCCTCCCTTTACCCTGTTACAAAACTATGTGCCAAATTTAAGACCTGAAATCCATCAGAGCGACTTTCGGCAATGGCTTGCCAATTAAGGCCTGTTACAGCCGACCCTTTTCCGGTATCTGAAATTCATTCTTGCCACGCTTGTGGGCAGAATTCGAAGAAAAGACCTACCGAGACTGTTATCCTAACCGACAAACAGCTCCAGAAGCGAGCGAATGTAGTTACATCGCCACACCAAAACAACCCATTTCTTGAATTGTCGCAGAAGAGCATTCTGTTGTGTTCTGTAACAGTTGAAGGACAAGCACAGTATGTATGTCTTTGTAGTTTTACTTTTTATAAACATACTGCGCGTGTCTTTCCTGAATGGACTGGCTCCTCCATTCTTTAAAAGGATGCCATAGAACTACAACATAATTTCTATGCCATACCTAAAAGAATTGTCAAAGGAGGAGTACAGTATCCACTAGTACTAAAGAGGATGGTCGGGGAGATTGAAGGCAAGGACATAAGCGATGGTATGGAGATTACTTGTAGAGTGAAAGGATAGTTTATTATAGTCTAGCAGGTACTGTATTGTTCTAAGTTTCAGCTACGATTTCTATAAAAGGCGCGGCGTTCGGACGGGGAAAGCAAAAGGGGTCAGGCACAACCACTCACTAACCCTGAGAGCCACCCAACCTGCAACCCCAAGTGTGTCCAACTTAAGAACCGCTTTGCAAAACCATTCAACACAAGTAAGTCACTCTGTTCATTTTAATAACCCTGCGCACCGCTAAAAGTGGTAGCATCGCCAAATCGATCTAACCCTATTTTTTACCAAAAATTTTCCAGTTTGCGAAATCAACACCAACAGCGCAGATTCCACACGTGGCACAGGCAGCACCAATAGCGAGCCGGAGCCAATTATTGTCGACAAACAAGTCGAAATTCAAGCTCAGAGCCAATCTACCTCGGCTAACAAGATTGCAACACCGCTGCCGGCTGAAAAAGAGTTAATTTTTAATATTGCTCTGGAAAGGGGTAAGCTCGACCGTGGGGCTACCTTCGAGCTACCGTCGGCTAACGCAGGACCGAGCGGAGAGAAGTGCTCCACTTGTCAACTTAACAAGCCGTACAACCAATCGTGGCCGGAGCACAACCGGTCTGAGTCCCATATAAGGGACCTCATTTTAAGCCGTGGATTCGGCCCTGCTGTCGAAAACCTTAACCGCGAGCACTCTAATATCCTTACAATAAAGTGCGATTTATGTCATACGAACTACAGGAACGCCTTATTGTTCAACGCGCATAAGGTTGAAGCCGAGCACCGCCGCTGTGTCAAGGAACTACATCGACTAGTACACTTGGCATCCAGCAAGGGCGTGATTGGACGTTGGACCAAGGTTACTAAACCAAGGAAAACGAACCCCGGTGTACTATCGAAGACCTTGGGGCACTTCAAGAAATACTCCAAACGTTCAATTTAGAGGTGTTGACTACAGTAGAAATTTTGCATTAAAAAATTGCCTTGTTTGAAAATTTGAAAATTGTCTACTGTACACTATGGAGCCAGATTCAATAATCCGAATGCAAAATGAGATCAGCTCTCTCCGCCAGCAAGTAGCTCAAGCTAATCAGTCATTACAGGAGCAAATAGCTCAGACAAATCAAGCTGTTGCTATCGCCACCCAATCTATTTCTAACGTAAATACCACGAATAGCAATAGCAATAGCCTTTTGTTAAAAACTGGCAAACCTGAAAAATTCAACGGTGAAAATGCCCGAAGCTGGTTGAAAAGTATAGCAAATATTTTTGCAGCGCACAGCAATACAATCGATGACAATACGAAAATCAACTATGCCGTAAGCTATATGACGGGTGCGGGACTACAATGGTGGGAGTTAGCAAACCTAAATGACAATGCTATAACATCATATGATGAGTTTCAAAAAGAACTATTAAACTATTTTGAACCTGTGAACAGAGAGTTGACCGCAAGAAAAATGTTGAGTGATCTAAAACAAATGGGCAAGTTAACCTTTGTCCGGGAATATAATAGAGAGTTCTCAAGATGGCTCTTGCAGATCCCAAGTATGACATCCGCGGAACAGATATTCCACTACAGCCAGGGACTTAAGACCCGCACAAGAATCGAGGTCGAGCGGGCGGAACCACAATCATTACAAGACGCTATGAAAATTGCGGACAGACTTGATAGTCTCTTCAATAGTGGTCAAAACTACTTTGGATTCGCAAGATCAACGCCTAATTTCTCCTCTGCGCCTACACCAATGCAAATTGGGAACATGCAACCGCGCAGAAGTACGAAACTGTCCCCAGCAGAAAAATCGTGAAGAATTGAGCATAGGTTATGCTTCGTCTGTGGTAAACAAAACTGCATAGCCAGAAACCACTACAACAATCAGAGGCCTAGACCTAACGCGTTCACCCAAAAGAAAAACTAGTTGTTCCGTTAAATGAAGTCGGCACATTGGCGGATAAATGTACTATAGCCGAAGACAAAACTACAAAAACACAAAAAAAATGATAAAAAACAAAAAGACAAAAAGAAGCAGTATTCAAGAGAGAACAACGGTAAAGAGTCCGTCAAAGTATGTACATTCTCACCATACAAGAAGAGAAGAAATACAAAGAGGCAAGCTCTACTAGTATTCAACGGGGAGGTGCAAGATGCAACCGACAATTCCCGTTGCACTGTTCTGGTAGACAGTGGGTGCGAAGAAATAGTAATATCAAAGGCATATGCAAAGAAATTGAAGTTGAGAAAGGAGAATACTAACCTGAGTGCAGAACTATGGGACCGAACACTTGTTCCTATGGAACGGTGTTGCGAGAACCTTATCATACGGATTGGGGAAGCTACCATTACCGTACGGCCATACGTGGTGGACTGGATTGCTTACGACTTAATCCTAGGCAAAGCGTGGTTATTCGAAGCCAACCCTTTAATCGATTGGAAAATGAACCGTATGCTCCTTAAACAGGAAGAAAGGTTAATAACTCTGGACGCAAAGGCTCATAAGCATGAGGAAGCCCGCCTGACATACATGCTTACGAGTAAACAGTTCGTGAGGTTAGCGAAAAAGCAGAAAAGCACCATATATCATGTCGTATTG